TCAATCTGATTCAGTAAGTACGTGCATTTGTCCTGGCTTTATGCCCTCAGTCATTCATAATACTGCTTCCTAACACAATAGCAGCTATACATCATATTGAATAAGTTGCATGAGTATTATATGCCACTTCCCTTTGGTTTTTGCTGCTGATGTTTTTGTACTCTGCAAAGTTAGAGGCTGAAACACAAACAGAACACTTGCAGTGGGGATTTTAGCTGTGTCTCCAGACGGTCGTCGTATGTATATGAGTTTGACTGTGTTCCACACTGTGCTGGCTTCACAGAGCACATGGCCTCTATGTAGGTGTGTCAGGGGCCTCTCTGCTCCTTTTTCCAGGAGCTCCAGGAGGAAATGTATCCCCTATCTAAATGATGTGGCTGTCATGATTGTTGGCCAGCTGCCCTGGTCTCTTTTTCTCCCTCTCTCGTCTTTTGGATCTACTGCTAGTTCTTAATTAGCTGTCACATTCTCCAGGCCTTTTCCACAACAAATAAGAGTCGAGCTCAGGCACCAGACCACTCCGTATGAGGTCTTGGTCAAGGAAAGGTGCTGGGTTGGTGTGTGTTTGTGTGAATTCTTTGCTCACCAACAATTTGAGGATATACAAAACCCATCATTACCATATTTTCCCATGAATTAGTTGATGAGCCATTGTCATCAAGAACCTCAATGCACTCTTGTTTGGTCTTATTGGCTTAATCAATTAAAGATTACAGAAAAGTTGAACCAATTTTTGAACATGATCATAAAGTCTTGCCCTGGAGATATAGGTATTGAAAGAAAGATTGGCTGAAAGCCTTGGCAGACCTTTTATATTGTATTGCCAATTTGTGAATAAAATGATATATTTTAGTAGATCAACCACCACAGAAGACTGTCTGAGAGAAGTTCTTCAGGATGTAAGATCTATGATGAAAGACTTTTCTGCTCTTTGTGTAAACTTAGTAACCACTAATAGCAACGTTGACTGGATGCTGTCATTTTCAATATCTGCTCCTCGATGACACTTGGTTGAATCTAGTTTTGCTTGGCGTAAACTTGAGTTAGCAGGATCCAGAGTTGCATCCTCAACAGACTGATGGATAATGGTACTGTCATCTGCAGGGTTGTTCATAAACCACAGCACAATGTCCAGGACCTGATGCCATCATGCCAGGGCTAAAGCCAACACTTTGTAAAGTGACCTGCTGTAACAGAAGAAAAAGCAAATCTTAACTTTTCTCCTTCTGGTCCTTGAGTAAACATATCATTTCACAGCTATTCCAGTTGCAACCCTGTACGTCTGCCTGTAATCCCCCCTTCTCGTTTCCCTAACTTGGTCTAGTCTACCAGGCCATGAAGCCTTGACAAGGTGTTCTGGATCAGACCAAGAGATCGGACTCGGGTGGATTAACGTAGGCCTGATACCGGATCCGCTCTGGTGGGTAGATATAGAAACAGCAGTGGGAGAAAGATCGTCGACCCAAACCAGTCCGACCTGTAGTTTTCTGGGGAAGTGGACATTAACCAGAGGCCTTGAGCCTCCTTGCAGGACTCAGAAACAGAAACATTATCCAGCCCTGTGATCTCCAGACCTCTCTTTCTCCTTCCATCAGCACACTTCTCCATCTATCAAGCTTTCGCTCTCCTGCACGCTCACTCCCTCTTTCTGTGCCAGACTTTGCTTGCTCTAGTGTGTCTGGATTAGTGTTTGTAAGGCATGCTTTCTTCCTCGGCTATACCTCCACATTGACAATCAAGGCACAAAACATCATTGTTCTTACTTTTGCATGCGCTTTGATCTTGAAGAGAACATAAATACAGTTTGAATTGCTGAATTTTATTGCTAAAGGTTTCTTAAAAGGTCTCCAAGGTGTCTGACCCTTAACCTTAACAGTGATCCCTTAGCAGTGGTAGGAGCTCTTGTCTGAAGAAGATGGATGTTATGTTTTTGTTTCCGTTCATCTTTGTTGGATTTTTTTCATATCAATTCTTCCCAGTGTTAGTGTTTTTCTTCATATATTTTTCCCGTGTGTTGCAGTGTATATTTTAAGCCCGCAGGGTATTTCTGGAAGCAAACAGAACTTAGTCTGAGGCCTCTGTGGAGACGGTACATACACTGCTCCTTTTGTAGCATTTTTTTAAGCTTTCAGTGAAGGTGCACATTCATTCATCTTTTCTCAGCCTCTACTTCAGGGAGCTTTCCTCCCTAAGTTTTTAGCATTTTGATCTCTACTTCTCTGCCTTATTTTACATAGAAGTACCACTACATTTCTCATCGGAGAAGCTTCAGAATCCCACTCTTTGATTCAGTTGTGTGTCCAGCAGTCGCGCTCTGGTTTGAGCTAAGCCCTCCCTGGCTGCAGCACACTGTCTCTTACTGTTTTTTTTTATTCCACCAGGCCACTTCTCCTGTTTGCCAGGAGCACTGCTGCCTCACCAATGGGACAGAGAATGCGCTATGCAAAAAGCGGGGTAATGACTTTAAAATACATTACTGCGTCATGGACAGGCACTTGGAAAGTGTCCTGAACTGTAAATAAAAGCATTTCAATCTCGCATTCGCTCACAGAGCTGAGGAGAAATTCCACAGTAACTAAGTAAGCCGAGGTGGTGGAGCAACAACTACCTAAGCAGATGTCACTAGGACTGTGGTATGTTGGAGCGCTGAAGACACTGGCAACCTCTCTCATTTATTTCATCTGTTTTCTTACAAAGATGATCAGGACAGAAGAAGTAACCGGAGCTGCCTGCCTGTCCTTTTACGGCCTTCTACTGTAGAAGAACAGACAGACTCAAAGCACAGGGTGGAGTTGTTGGGACTCCATGAACAGTAGAGAGTAGCTGTTCAAATATGACGTGGCTATGTGAAATTAAACAGATGAGGATGAAAATTTCCAGGAATTGCCCTAGAGTGGCAGTCTTGTATTTGATGCCATAAAACATGGAACACACTGACAGCAGTTCAAGTCAGTACCATTTAAACAGTGGAGTCAGACTTGTGTAAGTACCACTCCCTAATAGCACGCTAATTTTTACCTCCGCCCCTGGCCTTATCACTACTTGTGCAAGTTCTTGCATCTCTCCAGTACACAGCAGAGGCCTTCACAATACGTACTGTTTCGCTTGTTCTTTCCAGCACAATTTGTCGGTCTTGTTCTGTGGTCTTGAAGTCTCAGCTTCTTGCGCTCTACAGCTGAGCTGAGCAACCATCTGCCTCCCTCAGGCCTTCAACAGATTACCTCCACGACACGCCTAATGCACCATGTTTTATAGCCGAGTAATGTCGGCTTTACACAGGGATTTGAACCTCTAAGCTGACCTTGAAACATGGCTGGTCTGTTGGCTAAGACACAGTCCTAACAGGTCATGATTTATCACTGGGGAAGCTGTGTGGATAAGTCAAGCCGAAATGGCTGTACCTGTTTAAGGCCAACAGTTTAGCTGGAGTTTTGATGGGCAGAGAGGGGCATACATATGCAAAGATGTTTAACACTTAGTTCTGTTGCATTTTTCTGAGCAGAAAGTCATAAAAGTGCCATTGGAATGCTGACTTTAGTGTCTTTGTATTGTGGACTTCTTTCTTTTTTTCCCTGTCTCTGCTGGTTATCAAAGACAGATGACAACTTGAAAAGATTCAGATGAACTCATCTACACATGTTGCATGTTTTTTTGCTTATCAGAACCTCCCCAAATTTCCATCCTAGTGCCAAATAACTGAAAAACATTTCCGAGGGGAATGTCATTAGCAGGGACAGATCTCATCCTGTGATTGTGTCATCTCACAATATTCACCTCTCTCCGACTGCCATTCTCAGTATCTGCGGTGGTGCTGCTGCGGTCTCGTTAAAAAACATGGTTTGTGTAGGAGGAAGAAATATTATGTCTAACAATTCTAAAACAGATGTTTTAATTGCACACAGCATCTGTAGCTGCTCACAATGTGACAGCAAACAAACTGCTTTACTTGTCGCAAATTGACACTTCTCCATCTGTGTGTGGGTGTGCACCCACGTGTGATTTGGCCCTAAAGACACCAAGTTGGCCAAGAGACTCCTCTGTCTCTCTCTCCCCAGCCAGAGGGCCCTCTGTTCCACCATTGTGCTGGAATGCTTTCTGGGACATCCAGCTGGAGGCTTCAGTACCGGGGGCCCAGCTATCACTCAGACCCATGGCCTAGCTTCCCCTCACCATGCTGGGCTGAGGAGACACTCAAGAGTGGCTGTTGGGAGGATCGTCGTCACTGTCTGTTCTCTGATGGGACCTGACAGCAGCCTGTAGCCTGTCAACACATTCCTGCACAGCTGCTCTTAAATCACAAATGGGATGGCTGTAGTGATTTTTGCGTGTGTGCCTGTGCGTGCGTAGGCTGGAGCACAAGTGTGGAGCTGTGTGTTTGACTGCATGAGCGTGGGTGCGAGCGTGTGGCCGTGTGTACACGTATCAGTTTTTGAGTGATGAAGTGTTTTTGTGTGTGCAAATGAGTAAATGTTAACACACGAGTCAGGCCTACTTTCCATTTTAGTAATTCTCCAGAGATACAGCTCTGTCTCCCAACATTGTGCAGTTGCGGCATTGAGGCTGATAAGGAAATGTTTAGCCAATTTAACCAGACTGTTGAAATGATTTGGAATCCTCACCAGGCCACTAGGGCATATCAAATGCATGGTGGAAAACTGGATTGTTTGTACAGTGGATAAGCGAGCTGAAATACTTAGAAGCAGTCTGTTGTGCTCAGTCAAGGGGAGTGTGAAAGAGCTGTGTGTGCTCCTAGTGTTTAAAAGTATGATTGCTTGTCGTTTTGATCTACTGTGAGTGTGTGCAAGTATATGATGGTGTGAATGGAGGCTGTACATGTTTTCATACATGTGTGCTTGTAGCGGTGCACATGGGTTGTTGTGTGTACACTTTGCTCACACATGTGTGTATTTGCTCAGGGAGTTCTAGCCGTGGCCTCTGCAGCCCAACATTGACCTCCTTCCTCTCTCTCGCTTACTAATGAACACAATGTGTCCTTTCAGATCCATGAACGGCTGCAGCACTACGAAGAGGGCAAACCCGTCCCTGTCCTGGACAACGCTGCAGCTCTGGCCAATGAAGTAAGTTATTTTTTTTAGGAAGGCTTCCATTTATGTGGTCGGAAATACAGATGGGTGACAAGTGAAAGGAAAAAGCAACATAACATGTCTTAATATGTAATGTATACTAATATATGATGTTCCCTCATTTGGTGTTTTGATGGTGATGCTAGAAAGCACTCTCCAACATGATGGTTGAAAACCTCCTCTAGACAAGTCTGGCGGTTGATTTATTGTTGTGCTACCATTACTGCGGTGGCAGAGTGAACACATTCACACTGACAGTGGAAGCAGAGTGGTTTGGGTTACGGGTCACGGTAAGCAGTCGCACCCTCCGACAGATGAAGGTAGTGGAAGTTATTCAGTACTCAGCAGTATTCAGCACTATTCTGAAACTGGTTATGACACAGGCTTTGGGGAAAAAATAACACTGAAGTACTGCCTCTTTCTGACTTCCACAGTCTGGATGTGACATTGCTGTGTCAAGCAGCTAATTAAACCAAGCAGGAATCAGTTATGATTTAGACTAAAATTCCAGGATTCCTTGCTTCACAGTATTATCCTAATTATCACTAAAATATGCTGAAAACCCTTAAAATGGCACTAAAACATCCTGGAATCACTTTACATTACACTTTGTTAGGAAACAAGCATGTTTTTTGCATAACAACTCATCATCTCCCTGTCGTTCTTTAGTTTGGAATCCATGGTATTTCCACACATCCGGCACAAGCCATGGTGACAGGCTTAGAATTTTGGAATGACTGGAAGATGCAGCCCTTCCCCGGTACATTAGCAAGCCAGACATCTTTTTTTTTAAGTCAAGCCATTGACACATGATATTTATGATTATCCCAATTATGAATGTTCGTGATAAATTGAATTTTAAATGTTTTTTATCACAATACGCAATAATATCGTATATCGTCCTATCCCTACTAGCAAGACATATGCAGGGAGGGGACTCACCATCAGACCTGTGTAACGAGATCTTCTTTAGAGATCTATCCTTTGGTGACAAGCTTGTAAAGCAGTTGAGACACAAGTAAAATTTATTTCTTGGAACAGAGGATTGTGGATTTTACTTCTTGTTTTCAGTTTCTTGTTGGAACAGCTAATTACAGCACAGAAGAGATAAGTCGTCTGGTCATGTGTAAAACTGGACAAAATTTAGTTTAGTTTAGTTTTTTGTAGATGTTGGCATTTGATGATGGACAAATGTCTTGGCGAAAGTACTAATAGTTCAATTTGCTTAGTGTTAAACACAGGTTTACAAGATCGGTGCCACTGCACTAATAGCGGCTTGTGTACTTCCACCTACAACCCGTGTTTGTCTGTAGGCTTTCAGTTGGGTTGAGTTCCAGTGACTGTGAAAGCCGCAGTGTGTGATTAACATGGTGTTCATACTCATCAAAACCATTCCGTGAGTGCTCGTGTCCTGTATGGAGGACTCTGCATTTGTTATGTTTCTCTGCTCATTTATCTGGGGTTTTCCTTCAATTTGTCACCCGCCTACACACACATTATGTCGTCTCTGTCTTGCATGGGCTGTCTTAATGTTTGACTTTGAAAACCAAACAAACATGATTTGCTTATACTCAAATCCAGAGAGACTTAGTGTAAGCAGGTAGGTAGTTTGTCTCGATCATCAGCATTACAGCATTCCGATATTATGCAGATCGAACTGTCGTTCGTAAAAAAAGTGCCAAGTCCCTGTAGCGCACACACCCTCAGTCACACATACTTACACTCAGCACCCTTCCCAGTAGCGTGCAGAAGCCGTGGCAATGTTTGTCCTCTTTCACCTCCTACTCTGAACTCTGAACTGTCCCCTTCTTGGTTTTGGTTTTCTACACTCTCTCTCTGTTACAATAACACTACACTGTCCCTACTCTACACCCACCGCCTACCCTCCTCCCGCCCACTCTCTGCCCAAACGTCTAGCCATGCACCACGAAATCGAAAATCCAGTTCTGCAAAAACACACCGATCATTTTCCTAGGGCAGAAACCGGATAGAAAGGCCACTCGTTCTGAGGAAAGCTAAAGATGGATGGGCACATTATGACAAATGATGGCAACTACAGATGATTGTGGAGAGAATGAGTTGCGTCATATAAACAGAAGTCAGTGGAAGAGAGAACACATTTAATATTCAGATTGAGAGAGAGAAAGCATTGTAGCGGGATCACCTATGGCGTGCATTCCCTCCTCATTAGTTAACCTGTTAATGAGAAGTCATCACACAGACAATAATAGTACCAACAGGACTGCTGGTGATGAATTTCTTCCATTGGCTCTGCTGCTCTCGTCAAGCTGCAAAAGATATTTAGTCTGATTTATTGAGTAAATGTCCAGTGTCCTGACATTTGTTACTGTATTGTTCATCTGCAATATTTATTGAAAGCCACGTGTGCACATAAGCATGCAAGAACCCCACTCATATCCACATGTGTGCATACACCCACACACCTGTGTAAACCCAAGGACCAGCCTGGCATGGTGAACGGAGAGGAGGAAAAGCCCTTTTACTGGTGTGTGGTTTTGTTTGAAATCCCTAGCTCTGTTTATTGTAATCAAAGTGCCTCCGACTATTCCTCCCCTTCTAGAGAGCCCACAGCCATACATCATCCTAATTAGTACTGAGTCAAGGGAAAGACGAGAGAAAGAGGGGCTGAAATTTCTACAGTTGGTTGGGGTAAAGACCGAAAGAGGAGAGAGTCCACAGTGTCCTGAGACTGTCACGAAAGAGAGGCCGTCTTGTGGTCTAGAGTGGTTTTCCTGACCTTACAGGCCACAAGTGTCGGTGAAGGAGCCAAAACGTTCCATCCTGGAAGCTTCACATGCACCAATACAGATGACCGGAGTCCCCAAACCATCCAGGACCCTTAACCAAACCAGGATGGCTGAGCCTGAATTTGGAGAGACAGTATTCTCAAATAGAAATTTTATTGCTCCTTTTCTGTCTGTGTGTTTGTCCTACCCTGCTGTTAGCCCTGGCAGAGGACACCGCTAACCAGATAACACCAAAACAAGAATTCCACCAGATTCAAGCAGCCAACGGAGAGGGAAGGATTGCTTCTGTTTCTCTTTCCTAAGTCTTTGCTCTGCCTCCCCCAGATGTGGCAAGAGGCCATAGACTGTTCACAAGACCCCCAACTATCAGCCTCCATCTTCCCTCCCCCTTACAGATTTTCTTTCTCATTCTTTTTGTCAAATTACAGACTTTCAAATTTATGCTTCCTGGTAAATGCCCCGCAAAGTGTCTCCCCGGGATTATCAGGTATCGGAATAAAGCCCTGAGATGGTGTATCAAAGCATCTCTCAGCACACCGCAATCCTGAGTCCCTCTTCCTTGGCCAGTCAAAAAAAAAGAAAAACTCCTAACCCGGAGAGTTGCAGTGTATTTTTAAAGCGGATTGTTTTTCACCCGTGTCACCGCTCCAAATGAATGCTATTGAAGTGGTGGCTGAGGACCGAAGTGCAACAGGAGAGATCTACAGTGAGATGAAATTCATTTCGGGCTTGGGTTTCGGGTAATGGAGGCTTAATTTATTGCCTAACATAAAATGACACTTCAACCCCCGTCTGCCCCCGGCTGCACTGTCTAGCACACACAGCAGGTGACTGCCACTGCTCAAACAAACTAGCACGGCCAACGCCGCCTGAAACACGATCGATACTGGGCCCAGGGAGCAGGTACTGTATTACATACGTATAAAGACATGCCGGTGGGTGACTGCACACACACTTTTATGGATGTACATACACGTTTATTACTGCACACACGGTCTCTCTCCAGCCCTCATTAAGACTGAAATAGAAGCACTCTTGCCTCATTGTGGAATGTGAAATACCACATTACATTAATCTAAAAGGGCAAATCAGCCTCACACGTGAACCCGCTCGATGTAAGTTCCAGTCCGTCGATCCAATCAGTCTCTATCAGTGCCTTCAAAAGCTAAACACGCCACTTCAGCAGTGAGCTGAGCGCCAGCCCCTTGTTCCAGAGCGGTGTCTATCGCATGAACTGAGACTGTATGTCCTGGTGGCTGACTCGTATCCTTCTCCTCTCCAAAGGCACCTTTTCCTTCTCTGGCCAACTTCCCAACATCTTTATAAGCACCCAAAAACCTGCTGTTACTTGGAAAGCCCACTGGGTGCCATCAGAGAGCACTGGTCTGCAATCCATAATGGGAAAGAGCCAGACAAACAGAGAGGGAGGGGGGGGGGCTTCATCAGTGTCAGGTGGATCTTCAGTGTCTACAAACATTTAGTAAAGATACAAATCTAAATTCAGACCAAGGAGTGTAAAGTGTAAATGAATATAAAATGATCTGGGCTGATAATGAAACCAATAATTGCCTTTTTGTTGTGGCCGACACTGATTTAACTGATAATATTACTCTTGCAGTTGTAAAATTGGACAGTGAAGGCTTGCCTTGTTAAATTGAATTGTATCTTGTAAATGAATAGTAGACACAACAAATGCCATTTAACATAACATTTACTATCTTCTTCTCTCTTAAAGTGCTAACAGACAGCAATGCCGTTCATATAAATTCATCTATACCTGCCTGTGACTATTATCCTTGCAGTGAACTCCACAGCCAATATCAGATAAGCCTCCACATTATTGGATGTATCAGCTGACACTTTTTTATTGAAACAATAATAATAATAATTTCTCAGGATAGTTCAGCCACTGATTTATGATGATGAACATGCAAGCATTTTACCTTGTCGATCAAATCTTTAGACTCCATTTGCACCTTTTGTTTCTAATTGTTTAACTTCATTCGTTTGTTTCCATCATATACTTTAATACATATAACCTTTGAGTTTATGTTTGAGAAAGCTCGAGCTGTAAATAAGCATGCCTGCAAGTTATTATTGCTGGTTAAAATAGTTGCGCAACTGCATCTTAAACAGCTCCACTGATACACTGTATGTATTTCAAGAATGACCCCAGTAAAAATACATTTGGATCGAAGTCACTTTTAGAATCAATTTTTTCTTCTCTTTAAATTTGATTATTTGCATGAGAAAAATTCATGTATTCATTATTTCCTTTTTAATTTCATTTTTCTAAGAGTGTGAAAGCCAGTATTTAGACCGTGAGACTTTAAAACTTTTATTGAAAGCTATAAAATATAATAATAGGAAAACATCTTTGTGCATGACTGTGTAAAATCGAATCAAAATGCTGTATGAGCATGAATTCAGGTTAAATTCTCACTGCTGTCAGCCGCTGTGTTATTGATCAGTTACACACTAAATCAAGCCAAATGCATTTTATTCATCATATGAAATGGATGACGCTGACTGGTTGACATCAGATTTTTTTTAATAAAAAGTTTTAATATGTTTTAATAAAAGCACTTTGAAAGAAGGTCAGCTTGATATATTGGCAGCTATATATCAAAGCAGCGAGCCCGTAGCCGTTCAGGGTCAATGGAGAGCTATAAACTGACATGCTGGGATCAAACTTATCTAAACACTGCACTGCCTGCCGTGACATTTAACAAATGAAATAAACAGTCTCAAAGGAGACCCGTATCATTTTTTTTGCCCCCTTTCTCACTCTCTGTGAAGGTCTACGGATGGAAAATGTGACTCCAACATTGAAGCATGAAGGTAGAGAGCAGAGTCAAACATGTCCCATCTGTCCTCCACGCTGAGTTATGGGACAAGGTGCTTTAATAGGACAATATGAGGGACTGGAAATTTACAGTTCTCTGTCTGTCTTTGCTTCCCTCCCTCGCTACAGACAGTTTGGCGATGACATGATAGATGTCTCCGTATCAGAGCAAGAGATTTTCCCTCACTAAAGACCCTGACCCCGACTCCCCCTGTATCTCTGCCTTTCTTTCTTCCTCCATTCTTCTCTCAGTTCCTCCGTTTTTCTTCTCTTCTCTGCTCTCCTGTGATTGTGTGTGCTATCTCTTGTTTGCCTCTCCCTTTTCACATTTCTTACACTTCCCCTGCCTCCCTCGAACCTCGCTCTTTCAGGTTGTATTTTTTTCTGTGTATTTGATAAAGTGAAGTAATGCCAGGTTGACTGAGGTTCAACTAGAAGAACCTTGACCACTGTGACTATTCATTAGCGTGGTCTCTCTCCCTTGGGGTGTCAAAGCTAATGGAAATAATGAAAAGGACCCCCCCCCCTCAAGCCAAAAGCACATGTTCCTGTCTTTTGGGTAAAGTGACATAGTGTCCTGCTTAACCCCAGTCTAACCCCCCTGTCTTTACCTCTGCCTCACCTCTGTTGCCTTATTCCCGCACCGCAGGGGTCGTTAGTCAAACAAACTGCAGGTTTTCCCAACCTGTGTCACCATCTGCCTTAAAGGAGCACGCTGCATTCTGGAGAGATTTCTCTGTTCATTTTATCTGTGACGTGATGACAACAGAGGCACCAAAATGACCCATGTCTCTCTTCACACTTCTTTGCTACACTGCTACGTGTTAAGACTGTTAATATACAGTATAAATTGTCAATCAGCACGTAGCATTTTCCTGTGAGAAGAACTGACCTGTTTGCTTGTAATGTTTTTTTTATTATTTGGCTTGTGAATTTATTGGCAGTTGTACACTTATCGCGCAACTCTTTTATGGTTTGTTTATATTAAAAACAAAAATAAAATATTTTTTTATGGGTCAAGTGCATTTTATTTGTATAGCTCAAAATCATTAATATTGTCTGAGAAGGTTTTACAATCTGCACAAAATATGACATCCGACATCCACTGACCCCCGATCTGGATAAGGAAAACTTCTGTAACGGGAAAAATGAAGGAGAAACCTCAGAAAGCGACAGATGATGAATCCCTTTTTCATGATGGATAGACATGCATGTTATGCATTAGACAGAAGTAGCAGGACTGGAATTGCAATATGGAGAAACAGAATGACAATTTAATGAAGTACGTAACTTTGAATATGAAGTAGAGCTGGACAGATAAATGACCTTGATCAATTTATCACCGATATTAGCACATTGCATATACAGTATATGCTGTACATTTAGCAATGTCAGTACAGAAATTCTGAATATACAATATGTTAATGGTAGTTTTAAAATTGTGTCTACCTTACGTAATTAGTTCACCAGAAAGCAATGACAAGTTTCATTTTCAAATGAGCCCTCAGAAGAAACCTTGGTCACAATCCTTAAAAAAAATTTTTAGGGATTCATCAGAAATGTAGGTTTATGTTAGAAAAAGAAAAGAAAATAGGCTACCAGCTGATATATCATTATAATAGTATCAGTATCAGTCAGTCTATAATGGCAAATAAATGTGAAGTGCACCAAGATAAAGGCATCATCAACTTCTGCGTGACTGAAAATGTGTAATATTCTTTTACACCAGCTTGTTTGTCCAGTGTGCTCTCTTCAGGGTTTCAGCCGTCAATCATCCGTCTGTTCTGATTTTGGACAGATAAACGGTCTTGCAGAGGCAGGGGTGGTCCAAAACAATAAATCACTTTTGCATAATGTTTTATTTCAGTTTGTATTTCACTAAAAGACACAGACTTTATTTTACATTATTTATTGAAACTAGAGCTTTTCATTATTGATTAATATAACAATTATTCCCTTGATTAATCGTTTATACTATAATATGTAATATATAGGGGAAAATCTGAGTTTCCTAGAGCCTAAAGTTACTGACGTCTTCAGATATTGTTTTGTCCGAGCAACACGATATTTATTTTTAATGCTGAACATGTTACCTTAATAGATTTTCTGACTAATCATTTCAGCTCTACATTTCATTATGCTTAAAAATAATGATGCTTGTATAGTATATGCTGAAGTGCACCAAACAGAACAGGACACGTGGGCTGCTACGGTGTCTATATTCCTAACACGTAATAGATCCGGTGATCTAAGAGTATTCTTTCCTGCGTACTTTGAGGTATCCTCAAAAGCAGAACTGCTCCACCTTTACTACAATTCACATACATGTGGTACAAAATACACGTAGCATCATGTACAGTATGAAAAAACATGACCGTGCACGTGTGTTTGATTTTCTCCTTCACTTAGCTCTCCCTTCACACCGCAGTCTGTGATCTCCACTGGCCCTCCTTGTGTAGTCGACATTTGCTCCTGATCCCAGTTCAGTACAAGCAGGTCTTTGTGTGCGACGGCTCGTCTCTTCTCTCCGCACTCAAACCACGTCCAGGAGGATCACCCATAAATCAGAGCGCAGACGGAGGAGCGTGGCCCTGGGCTTTAGAAGCAGAGTCACTTGTCTCAGAGCTACCAGACATTCATCATGAGCAGAGTCCAGCTCAGTCCCACCGCTCTGAGATGCTCTCACAGCTCCTATTGTTTCCAAGAGGAACGGACTGTTTTCTTTTGTTCTCCAGATTTTTATTGAAAAATGATCCTACTGAATAGTAAATTTAATCAAGACGAAGGTGGCAACAAGTGCAGATTGTAGGCCCCATGGAGATGTATCACCTCGCCTCCCATTAATATGCACCTAATTTAGAACAATATCACCTTTCCTGTCCGATGGCCTCCTGTTGCTTAGGGACCGCCTCAACGTACAAACAGCCAGTTCCCTCGAGGGTATAACTGTACTTCTTACACATGCTTTTGAGGGGTAATTAGCATTTATTCATTTTCTTAACACAAGTCAGTGAGTGTGCTAATAGTCTCCTATGATAATAAGTAGGGATTAACAATAAAGATATACATTTTTTTCACCAATAATTACCAGCTCCTAATGGTCGATACCAGTAATACCACTAATAATTTCACATCTTATATTTTGAAAACGAAATAACTAAGGGTAAGAAAGGCAAAGGCGGATGATTTAATATTCCATAGCTCTGTTCTAACCATATCTAACATCCAACATCTCTATTCTAAAAAAGAACAGTTCTGACTCATCAAATGTTTGTTTATTTTTTGTAGTTCATCAGAAAACCTCACAGACATACTTTGGCTTTCATAGAACATAAAGCTTATCAAATGTTTTGCTTTAGAAATCAGTAATTATCGTGCATCCCTAGTAATAGGACAAGGCAAACCTTCCTGCCATTGCTCGTATAATATATCAAAATAGAATTAAACCACAATGTTGCCTGATCACGTGTGATACAAATAAACCAAAACTATCCTTTTAAAGCATGTAGCGAAGCTCAGAGAATGGGTAAAATGGTAGTGAATGAACATGCAGAGGGTTGAGTGAAAGATGTAAGAATGAAATAAGGTGTGACTGAAAAATCCTATGTAAGTTGCAGAGCCGTGCCGTTGACAGCTGAAATCAGACGCTGAACTATAAATCAAAACCTACTCTGTTGGTATTTACAGAAGAACTGCAAAAATGATAATCTCTGTGAGAACCTCTACAGAAGACATTGGTATTTTTAATATCCTCCCCTGATATATCATATTGTAAATGCATATGTGTTAACAATATGTGTCTTCTCTTCTTTAGTTGTCCGAGGAGCTGGAAGGGAAATCAGCCAATGGAGAAATCAAAGAGCTTCTCCAAATACTGGCCAAACCCCACGTGAAGGTGAGTTTGGCTCCTGTCCTTCATTACAGTCTTAATTCATCTTATATTCAGCAAATGCTAAGGAGCTACAATCAATACCCACAGGTTCTGGTTATCGCAAAGAATCAAACACAAACTTTAAACTTTATTCTGACTGATGTCGCTGGCATTTAAGTCATGTGATTATTGTGGCGTACACAAAATAATCTGGCGGTAAGATCCAGGCCTGCGCTCTTCCTGCAGCCGCTGGCCTCGTTATCCAGACGCATACAGCTACAAAGTGAATTTACACGTTTTTATTTTCAAATGCATAACTCTGGCCATCTATCAGGCCCTCCAGGTGTCTCAGCCAGACAGAGCTGCCTTCACAGTGGCGGGATAGAAGGAGAGCTTGACGGGCTCCTTTTTTAACGCACTGTCGTCATGCTGATTTGGGCTCTGCCAGAAACAACAGCTCAGTATGACGCCCTCCCCCACCACAATACACATACACACACAGAGCATACAAATATTCTATACTCTCTCCGTGTCAAGGGTTGTAAAAAGACAGCGGTGCTCCCAGCAGGATCAGGCATTAAGTCATATCAACATGTGGATTTTTGAATGTCTGTGCTAGTGATGTAATAATTCATTTCTTAAATTATAACAATACAGTTATATACATATAGAAACAGTTACAGTAGATTGTAGATTGAAAATTGGATCACATCCAATTCAGCTCATCACACTTAACCAGCAATCCCCACATAGACATCTGATACACACTCAAACACACTCGCACAGCCACTATCCTGAAGACAAACGGTGGAAATCTATCACAGCCTCGCTCTCCTACTTTGCTACGTGGGGACGCTGTGATCTCCTTTGTCTCTGTCAACCCCAAAGTGAAATGCGCCGGCAAACGATCACTGTGCTCGCCATGAAGCATGCCTGTGTCAGAAACCCAGCGTTTATTATTTTAATTACGCTTACAGCAGAGGTATTTGGCGTGGCAAAGGTCAATCCATCAAAACACAGAGTGCGTGAAGGTCATCGATCAGGAGGCTCGGCAACTTCAGCTGATGAGGTGAGGAGAGGTGAAGGTAGGAGACGGGACTGTGGGCCAGGTGTACACACACACAGTCCAATCTCATATCCTGCCTGTGTAGGTATGTGGTTATAGTCCCAGGTAAAACCACCTATATATCTTTTTAAGTGTTTAGGTCTTTAAGGCTTGAGTTAATATTATACATCTTTAGTATTATGTCTAAATCATTAAATAGAGCTCCACTATAGGCGTGTCCCTTCCCCTCTAAATTTATGTGATGCATGGACTGTGATATTTTTTAATCACATTCATCTGTGGAAATAAATCTGATAAGAATTAAGTATTGCCAGTTGGACTTTGGTCTAAACAAACAGAATTTCATTACAATTTCTTGGAGTACTAACGCCAGCCAACCTTCCAGCTTGAATTTGTGTTCTTGTTTGTTTTCATTGCAGATTTAAGTACAGCAGTGTTCATCGGCTAGGCTTTGGACGTAGCCTTGTTGAGATTAAAGAGCAACCCCCTTAAAAAATGTGCTTTAGGGTGTGTGCTCTAGGGACACTTTAAATTTCCAACCGGAGAGGGCAGTGAAACTCTGCTTTTGTTCGATTAGATTGTAGATTTCAGTCTTTTACTTACCAAATAAAATGATTGGGTCACTGGTGGGAAATGAACAAGAACTGAATTTAAACATGTAAGAATACATTAAAAAGCTAATAGAAAGATTTCTGGTATAGTTCACAGGGGGAAAATCTTCTCTGTAACTTCAGCTTTGTCCTCTCAGGAAGACCTTCACCAGTATTTACTTGTTGCCTCTCTTGGCTTTCTTTGTTCACTTTAGTCGCTCTGTTCTCCTACCACCTCCACATGCTGCTCAGCCGACCTCCACTCCAGTGTGGAATGAGATCAGCCAAACAATGGAAAATATTCGGCTACTGCTTCCTTCATTGCTGGCTGACAGCGCTGTCAGAAGCACAGAAGCAACTGAGGCCAAGGAAGGCGACCTACAGTGCATTGGCATTTTATCAGTGGACTGGGGTTCAGGCTTTGAGATGCCACAAAATGAATGCAACTGAACAGACTGAGAATCTGTTAACGTAAAAGAAAGCTGGACTTGTTTGTCCTTTTGATATCAAAAGGCATCTTATGTGCAGTGTTTTGTCTAAGATTATTTTTTGGCCTTTATTGGTTAGGAACAATTGAAGAATGACAAGATATTGGGGGAGAGAGAGGGGATGACATGCAGCAAATGGCCCTGGGCTGGAATGGAACCCAGGCCGCTGCAGAAGGACTTTGTAATGAGGTCCCTTTAAAATAAATAATTATAATAATTACGTAACAACTTTTTCCAACTTCTGTAAGTTGCCACAAGCTGCAGTATGTCCTTTTTTGAAGTGTCATACTTTGTGTTGTCAAGTTGAGTGATTTATACTTGCACACAGTTTCTCTACCCACTTCATGACCTCTACTCTTGTGTGCTGCTTCGAGTCCATCACCAGGTTTTGAGCGCCTTGGTTTTAAACTGCCGGGCTAAACGCTCCCTGCTTCAGTGCAAACGCTTGGTTAACAATAGATTAGTTGCAACATCTTGGTGTGGAGGGAGGGCTTACTGATGTATAGAAACTCTTGGCGTTTTCCTGTCATTGTGTCTCATACCGTGGGCAGCATGTGGGATTCAAAAATAAAGTATTAAAACTTTGCTCTCTTTCTGTCTCCATCTGTCCTCCAGGGCACTTGATACCATACCAGCTAGCCCCAGTGTAAATCACAGAGCCGGGGGTGTAAAACACAAGCAGATGGTTGCTGCCTTTGAATGGCGTCTCTGTGCGATAGTAACTGTATCACTCTTAATTATGGCTGAAATGATCCATTCCTAGGGTGGGGATATAAATCAGGCTCTTTAAAACTCTTTCTCTTCCTTTCTCTTTCTTGCCTTGCCTCAAACTTTCTCTTTTACGATTTGCACATGAAAAAACAACTTTCACCCATATTAGCCCCCCTCAGCAAGACTAATATTGACAGTGATGAAAGTGCCAATTATGATGGCCGGCTGTTTCCGCCGGCGTGTATGGAGGTAGAGGTGTGTGTGTATACACGCTTGCAGAATTTGTTTGACTCGGGGCGGTGCGCGCTGAGGTTCAAGGCTTAGAGAGGGGTGGGCACAAGTGTCAAATCCCAGCTGGCCTACAGCAGCGTCTCCAAGGCAGAACGCTCGCAGCAGGGTCCTTCCCGCCTGGGGAGAGCTGTTACCCTGCACCTATCCAGCACCACCAGCTGAAAAACGAGCGGGCCGGTGACAGGACCGGGGGGCTTAAATGAGAGGCCACTGCCAGGAATGTACGAGCAGGTTTATTTAGTCAAGCTCAGTGATCTGTTTTTCTAGGATCCCTATTATGCCTAATGAACACAAACACACGAACCGAGAAAGGACGGGATGCCTGGAAAACAAGGGTGGTTTCGCTTCCCTTCTTAGTTCTTTCCGTCTCTCACTCTCCGTTCTCCTCTCCTCCTCAGGCCTCAGCCGCAGGGCATGTACAAGGGTATAACTCTAGATTTGATTAGCCGGCTAATCCACCAACACTGAGGCATAACAAGACCCACTGACTCATATCAACCCAGGAGGAAAGCTTCCATACGGAGACCTGTGTGTGTGTGTGTGTGTGTGTGTGTGTGTAAAACATTTGTACCTGTGTAGTTGTACTCACATGTCAATGGTCACCAGCCAGGGCATGTACCATGTGCTATCTATTAACATACAGCTGTTATTGCTACTTCCTAGAAAGTTTTTACAAGGAATTAGCTGTGGCTCTGTTACGGGTTGTTAGGCACAGCCATTGGGAGAATGTGGCGGCGGGGAGCAATGCCAGATTTAAGGAAGTGCCATCGATGAGAGGACACTCACAGGTCAGGATATTAGGCCTGATGGATAGCAGTCAGAGGAAACCGCAACTGGCAGGTTAGTGGAGGAAAGGTTGAGGTGAGCATGAGAAAGAAATGTGCAGGGAGAGACAGAGCACAATAAAGTTGTTCTATGGAAGTTCTGTTAACTTCTTATTTATTTACTTATTATGAACTATTTATTTACTACAACAACAAAGTCTCCTTTTTAATATAAAACAAATTGTTTGTGTGTTAATCGATCAAACAATAAGTTTAGAATGTAGGGAAAGATGCACATTTCACTTTTCCTGAAGACCAAGTTGACATGTTCGCATTTCTCATTTGTTCAACCAACACTGTTTCACCACTGTTTGTTGAAACTGATTACATATCAAATTTTAAGTAAAACTAACATTACTAATTAACAACATTCTTGATCAAGTAGCTTAAGTCATTTTAAGTGATGCTGACTTCATTTTCTAATTTTTATTTGTACTGTGAAAACAAAATGCTGAGTAAAACGTACTTAATCAGGAATCTTAGTGTAAATTAGTTTTGTAAATTACCAGTAAATTCTGCTTAATCAAGAATCTTTTTAACTTAGCTTGTGTTACTACATTTATTTAGAGTTAAAATAACTTCTTGCATTACAATGAACAGTCCATAATCCAACTTTTCTTCAGTTTACTGTGATATAAAAGAGAGAAAAGCAGCAAATCCTTTGACAAGCTGGATCCAGCAAATGTAAATGTCATTATCATGTGAATGACAGTTTTGCTTGATTTATGGCACATTTGAAGGGTGGAGTTCAAGTTGAGTTTAAGTTTTGTTCATTTTCACAGGTTAGAACCAGAAAATCACAAATTGGAAGAAAAAAAAATCCATCCAATCCAATCATGATCCAATCAATTAGCAAAATCGTTTTGTCAATCGACTAATGGACTGATTGACAGATTGTCTCAGTACTACTCCATTCTTATTCGAAGGACTAATGCAGCACAGCTTCAGCAAAACACTGTAGTCCTGCTTTCTGCGGCAGTGTCCCACCCTGCTGAGAGGCTGATGGACGCCTGGCTGACCCACATGTTGTCGCGACCCAGATCAGGTGCTGTGA